ATATATATATATATATATATATATATATATATATATTCCACCTTTAATTGAAATGTTGTTATTATTGAAAAATGCATTAATTTGGCTAGATCATTAACAGATATTTGATCTTCTGCGTCGTATAAAAAGAATTTTTAAAGCAGAATCTTTTAAAGCAAAATTGTTATAATTGTCGTTTGGGTTTATGCCGCTTTGCTTCTTCATCAATGCTGCTTTAACTCGGACGTTTGATCTTCTGTGCTGATCGCTTACACTGAATTTTTTTCTTGCATTATTTCTTCCACCAGTGCGTTAATTTGCGAATTCTTCTAACGAATAAGCAGTGGTAATTCAGGAAGCTACTCAGAAATACTGTCGAGTGTTTATTTGATCGAGTTTGGCCCTAGCTGTGGTCTTGAGATACGGTAATAGCCCAGTTAGGTTAATATTACCTATTAAACTTTTCTCAGCTGCAAATAAAGTTTTAGAGAGATCAATTTTTTGGACGGGCCAAAAAAAGTCGAATAAAATTTTTGAATTTTTGTTATTTTTACTAGAGGTAGGGGCAAATTCCTCTTGAAAGTATTTCAGCTTTTCCTCTTCTCTACTTGAAACACAATTGGTCTTCATTGCACTGCTTCACTTCAAAGACTGCTTGCGCGCGCAGTTTTTTTCGCTTGAGGGCTGGTTCTCTATTGGAGTTTCAGAGTTATTACAAGACTCATTTAATATTACAATATATTTACTGCTACTTCTAAAAGACAGACGAAGAATGTACATCTGCAAAAAGCAGAAAGAACGCCTAAAATCTGAAAACTGCAAACCCCTGTATTATTTTTCTGCGAAGGAGCACTATTAATAATTTTTTTCTTTCGACTTTCGCCAGACATTAATTTATAAGGTTACAAGTTCTGGCGTCATAGAAAAATTGAAAGATTTTCCTAATCGATGTCGAAACAATTTGTAAATTTTTCTTCTGACCACTGGACAGACTGATTTAGCATGTTACAGCAGAAGGCTGTGAAAAAATAACGTATTTCAGAGTTAATGTTTCACGAGGCTTAGACGAACGAATCGATCAGAATAAAGTTGTTTTTTCTGTTCTCATTTCTTTCATTTTTTTCTTTTTTAACTTTTTTCAAGATTGGCCAAGAGAGTCTTTGTTTACACAAGCATACGTCTCGGATGCACTGAACCCTTACTTTTTTTACTGCAAAATCTCCAGCAGTACTTTTGCATACAAGGTAAAAACACAGGAAAAAATACAGGAAAGCAGTATCCGCTGGCAGCAGCCGCCATAAAATGTCGAATTTCTGTTTCAACAGAGTTTTATGAGGAAGGTGGAAGATATAGATCGGAAAGTTTATCATTGTGTTAACTTTTTTGCAAAAAATTTTTTTATCTTACCTGGTTGCAAAATATCTGGTTACTTACCTGTTACTGAACTAGCTGAGCTGAAGCGCGGTTTAGTATAGTTATTTCTCAGTTGAAATCAAGGAACTCACTTGCATAGGCGGCAGAGTTCTACGTCAATTGAAACTTTTTGGAATTTAGTTTCACTTGTCGTATCTGAATTTAGAGTACCAAGAAAATACTATCTTGTAATTTTATTATTTTGCGCAGTAATAATGCTTTTAAAAAATAAATTCTTGAAGCACTTTGGAAGCTTCTATTCTTAGAAACATTTCACAATTTTTTGCTTCAGTCTTTCATGTATTCTCCCAATCAGAACATCGCACCACTTTTTTGAATCTGTAGAAGGCCAGCTTTCAAGATTTTTCCATGAATAAGCGGAATTACTATCTCTCAAAAACGATCGCGTTTAGCATCAAAACTGCGACTTCTCCGCACTTTGGAGTCAAATTTTGTCCTCCACGCACTTTTGATGGTACTCTGTTTTTATTTTGAGATCAACTACGGCTTACAAATTTTGAAAAGAAAATGAGAGACCGTTGGAAAATACCATATGAATTGCTGGTGAGTTTGTTTGGCTCGCGTACTGCCTTTCATCTTTCCTGTTACCTCTTACCTAGCTGAAGGGAATTTTTCTAGCCTCTGCGTATTCTCTTGTGAAGCTATTATTAGTCTTTTCAAAGATATATTCTGTCTGTGTTAAGCTGCCTTCTTTAATTCTCTCATTGCTGACTTTTTATTAGCACTATCATTTCTTTTCATTTCGTTGACTTGGTTCTTGAAATCACTCTATACATCGTTTTTTAACAGTAAGATAGAGTTAAAACTCAAAATCTATAGAGAAAAACAGCATATTGTATTTTTACTTTTTTTAGTGTATTGACCCCTTAGCTGATAAATGGCTTCGGAAAATGGCTCATCTTGTTGATTGCTATTTAAACAGTAAAAACAGTTCTCCTGCTGTCAGGTATCTCTTAATTGTAAAATTTTCAATAACTTGCTGTCTTTCTTCAAATTCTTAGTAACCTTTTTTCCTTCTATAATCTAATTTAGGGAGAAAGCAATTTGTCTACTGCACAGCACATATACTAATTACCATTACTTGTACGAAAAAGATGTTGTACTTGACTTGGTTATACCAGTTCTCGGTAACGCTGTTTATGAGGAGGACATTAAAATACAGGTGTGGGGATGCTTCTTATAGTTTTAGCTCTTTTATGACGTTATGACGTTTATCATTTAGGTCCTCTGTTTTTACTTATATCTATTTAGTATCAAATGCTGAACGTCTTATTCGACGTCGCAAAGACAACCCCATTGCGAGTAAAGGGCGATCAAGACTGCTTTACCATGATAATGGACGTTTTGAAAACATTTCTTTCTGCAGACACTTTTAAATTGGGTTTGGCTTCAGCTGAATATTTCTCTGTCATATTCCCTTCCTCTACTGAAGTTATATAGTTTTCTTCTAATTTTATCGCTGATATAATTCTTTTGAATGTGAAGCAGTAATAATTATTTTAGCCCGTAACGATAATATCGAAGTTGTTGTCAGCGGCATTGCAGAAATCATGCACGAACGTTTTGTTTCATTTTCATTACCTCAACTTCAAATGCTTGTGGAGATGCAGTGTGAACATCTGCATTTGTATTATGCGGCTGAGTCAACTACAGAAGTTGGATCCGAGATTAGAGACCGAATGTTTTCCGCACTTCTTTCTTTGCTTTATGCTCCTGTTTATGATCGTCTTGGTAAACAAGTCTTTGGATTCATTCTTTTCTTAGTAATTTTGGTACCTATGAGCAATTTGCTTAGTTTTCATTTTTATTTTTTGGTAGGTGATTTGTAGAAGCTATGGGTAAGGTAGCAACTTGAATTAGTATTTTGGAATGATTTTGACAGGGTAACTGGCTGGTTCTGATTTTTGCTAAACTTACCTAGTGTTAAACTGAGAATTACCTATTTTCTACTTTTCCCAAGACGTTTTTTGCTTTGGTAATTATTATTAATTTGGTTCTTTATTATATGCTTACTGTTCTTTTACTTCTTTGTTCTTTCAGTCAAAAAAGGTGAAACGACATTGACAAATCCGCGTATATGCTGTCAAGGTAAAAATCGTGAAGATCGCTTTTCGTGGCAGCCGATTTGTGAAGTTACTGTCCTGGCTTTGCAGAGAGAACGATGGTATCTCTTACCTTTTCTATTATGTATGATGGGTACTTTGATGGGTACTTTAGACATGATTGTGCCCTAGTTTTTTGTTTAACTTTGGTCTTCGATACGGCTGATGAAATCTGTAGAAGTTTTCAACGGTGCTTTGAATGGCTAATCTTTTTGGTGCCGTAATGAAAATTTGTGCTTCATTTTTCTTTATTTTCTAAATTAGGTCTCCAGTGTTGAAAACCGTATTACGTCATCTCAGTGAAGTCCTTGAAGTACGAGATTTCGTTTTTACTGCTGGCGATAAATTGGTCAAGAATCTGAATGATGCGTTACTAAAATTATTCGTTAGGTACGTTTTTTGTCAAAATTTTTGGCCAAACTATTTTGGTTCTAATCGTTGTTAATTGTTTTTCATTTTCATCTAGTCTGAAGGTGAAGATTTTTTCACTGCGACCTGTTTTTTGTTTTGTTATCCTTCAGTTTATTCCTTCTAGTTTTTTTTTTCAGAAGATCGGATCTTTTATTTGAGAGCGAATCGAGTCCAGGGAAGGCAGAAGAACTTGGTTTAGCAGAAAAGCGAAATGACAATGATTTGGTGAAGTTTTACTGTCCAGTAATCACGAAGTTGATCAACTACTTTCGCGACGAAAGAATATGTCATGTTCTAGTGGACAGCATTAATGTGTCTTCTGGTCATTCTGGTTGTAAACAGGTTCAAACAGTTGGAATTTAGTGATGGTTAAACAAGAAGCTTTTTTTCAGTTTTTACCAAACCATCTTGCGAATGAAGGTTCAATAAATGTTGAATTTTTAGGCTATTTTGGGTTGTGATGTCGCGGTGCAACTTATGCCAAAAAACATGGCACAGTTGGTCAAGCGGCTAATGGTAAATCTAACCAGTCTGAAACCTAATCCGATCCTGGCCATTCCGGTTATTGAATTTCTAACAGACGCTTGCAGTGTTGACGAGTTTCATCGTTTCTTTCAAGTATATTTAATTGGAACTTGCCTTTCTGTGCTCGTGTTTCACATTTTTTGAGCTTTATTTTTAGCTACGCAGTTAGTTAACTCGCAAATTGCTTTGTAAATTGTAATGTTGAAGATTGGATAGTTTTGTAGGTATAAAAAGGCAATTTTAGCGGAACGACTTCGTATTAATTGTGGATATTCTAATACCGTACACAAATGTTCATAGATTTAATACCTACATAATTGCTGCTGTTATTCGTGTGTTAATGCTGTGGTGTTCAAGAATGCCGGAGGATATTCGTGATGGAGTTTCGAAGTATATAACGGAGAAGGTAATAAGGTCGAATTTAACAAATTTTACACTTACTAATGTAAAACTTACTGACATGCACTTTTTTGTTCTTATACAGGTTGAGTGCCAAGAATTGTTTTCTGCGCAGACTGCTAGTAGCCTTTCTCGACAGACGAGTGAGGATAGTTCAAGGGTCTTCACCAGCAAAAGCGGCATGTTAGCACCATCGCTAAGCTCTTTCTCTTCTGAGATATCTCCCGATTCACCACCAGTAGCTCATGGAGCACCTGCGACAACTTCAAACAGATTTTTTTCAGGGACGGAACCAGGCGAGAGAGAAAAGGTACTTTTAGATTTACTTTTGAAAACTCATTAAACAAATTTCTTGCCATAAAAGTACACATTAACGATTGCAATAAGAACAGCAGGCAAAAAAATTTATAAAGCTTCTAAAATTTTTTCAATTTGAGACGATCTTGCTTTGAAAAGTGATTTTTACTTTGTCTTCTATCTCGTTTTGGAAGTTTATAAGGCATAGGGTAAAATAAAATCTTTATGCAACAAAATTGTAGATAACTAATTGCGGTAAAATTGGCTTATTTTTGTTTACACAAGTTTGATGCACAAAAAAATAGACATTTGCGATTGGTGATTTCCCTGCTATAGTGACACAAA